TTAAATTATTAATTTTTTACATTACATTTTTTACTCCGCATAAATTTTAAGGGGATTTTAATAAAACGGTTAACACATAATTAGTTTAACATAATTAAGTTTAAATGAATAATTTATTGTAATATTTTAACTGAAAAAAATGCTGTGGGATAAAAACAAAATATGACATTTTCTAATTTAATTAAGTTATTAGTCTAAAGTTAATTCAAAGATGTTTTTTGTGTCTTAGTGTCTTAGCGAAACTCGGCAAAGTCCTACAAACTTCGATCGATATAGTACATTCCGTAATAGTAGTGTCCATAATATTATTGTGTTTATTATTATATTTTTTTGTTCTGTTGAGTATTTTATTAGGTTTTATTAAAAAATGACTAGAATACTGCATAATATTACAAAATGAATTATCATTTCGTTATTCCCATAAATATGTCCGTTCTTGTTTTAATGCCATAAGTGTACAAAAGTCCGGAACTAATTATTTAATACTATTGAAAGATACTATATAGATTTTGTATACAGTCGTGGTAAATATTTAAATCGAAGTAAATTTCATAACCTATTTGAAGGTTTAAGAAATTATTTTCAAACTATCTAGTTTTTTTTTTTATTTGTACCTTCCATTTTATAACATAAATATAACAAAAATAATGAATATTAATTTTTTTTTTATATATATATGTTATACTAAAACAGAATTTATATATTTTTATATGTTAATATTGTATAATAATAATATAAAAACAAAATAATAATACAATTATAACATATGATCAATTAAAATAGATTTCCTTATGAAAAAAAAAAACAATTAATAAATAAAATTAAAAATGCAATAAATATACCACAATTCTCCGCATAACATTAAAATTAAAATAAAACAAACATTTATTTGCATAATTCATTTTATTTTGAATGCATCAATATTTATACATTTATTGCATTCGTTATATTGGGTGTGTGTATCTACCGATTTTAGATATACTAAAACGTGATAGAACCACCAAATAATATGTGTAAATTTGCATTGAATGGTGTTAAAGTTAATGAAGTTGTTGAAGAAAATATGCTTCCGAATTTCAGTTCGGCCTTTATTTTTCAGCTACATTTTCTGGATTGCGTTGTATTATCTATATATTTGATTTCTCTAAATAACAAACTATCAAGAAGTTTTTAGTTACATTTCTTTTTGGAACACACATCATTAAATTATTGTCTATTCCTTTAAAATCTGCTTCGTTGTCTAGGTTTAGTTGTCGTACGATGACTTTTTTTTAAATGTCATAACTAAAATCATTTCTGGTTCTGATATATATATATATATATATAAATAAATATAATGCATTGTTTTCGTTGGAAGTCATTTCTGTATATGTTGAGATCAGTTTCATATGTACATGTTTATCCTTAGTTGATGGATATTCTTGGTGTGGAATTATTTTTATGTTTGCGTTTGTTAACACCGTTGTACCATTAATTGATTGGATATGGAACCTAACAAAATCTTCAAATCGGATTGGCGTGTTGTTGACATTTTTAAGGACTTTTATTTTAAAATCATTAAATTTACTTTCAATTGGAGCACTTGATGGGAGGTTATCTTCGTATCAAAATGATGAATTCACAACACCAGGAGGAAGTAATAAGAGTAAAGTGGTTACCAAATGAGTCAGGTAATAAACACAAACATATTTCATTCTAAAATCATTCCTGTTTTTTCAAAGTTAAATTATGTTTCATATTTGATGTATAGTTTTAATTTCCAAAAATAAATGTTCTAATACAAATGAAACATAAAAAATGGTGGGTCTAAATAAATTTGAAAATTTCATAATTATCTTGTGAGTATATATAAATGTACCATAATTTGATTATATGATAATAAAATAAAAATAAACTATAAAACAAATAAATCATAATCTGTTAAACAATTTAAATTATTGTCACATTTTTATAATTTATTTGTATAAAATTGTATTCATCATTATAATCAATGCATTTAAATGCCAGGTTAAGGGATAGTAATAATCTTTTTTTTTCAGTATTAAATTATTATTAAATTATATATATATAAATAATTATTAAATTATATATATATAAATAATTATTAAATTATTTATCAAGGACACTAGTTTTTAGAGCATATATAAGTAGAATAATCAAATTAGACATAATGGCTAATTAAAATTGAGGTTGGAAAATTAAAAAAATAATCGGATACGATAATATTATAATTAAGTCTTTTATCTAAGCTCAATAAGGTTTTGTAAATAATAATTAAATTAAAATACCATTGGTGTTTTTTTTTGTTTTTTAATTTGTTATTACGAGATAATTTTAAGAAAAAAATCATTCTAAGAACGTAAAATTAAAGAGAAGTTATTATTTGAAAATATGAATTAATTTTATAATTATTATTTATTTATGTATAATAAATATGTAGTGACTCTATTGCGAGGATGGTAGGTATAAATTAACCATATGTATTAGGTTTAACTATTTAAATAATTTGGTTTAAGTAATTATGATTTCGTTCTTTATGATTGATTTTTTTCTTTTTTGTAAACATTATGATGAACGGTTGCTATATCGAATAAAACGTATATACGAAAATAAGTAGAAAACACGATTGTGTATTTGACAATTTTTAATTGATACACGATTGAAAAAAAAAATAAAATATATAACGAAGATGTTTCCAAAAAAATTATTATTTCAGGATTACTCCGTACACTATGATAAATCTTCAATATACACTGGACGTCAACTTATCGAATTTTAGAATATCTTAAATGAGATCCTCTGGGGATCCTCATTACTCTGAACAGCGTACGTATTTAATAAAAGTACATGTCATTGACTTCTTGGACATTTCGCTGCTTTCCTCGCCATTCGGAACAACGATAACCTACCGTACATATACTTTATAAAATTGCGTTATGTTTATAATAAAGTTATCACGACATGCTTCTGTCAATCACGTAGATATGTAAACATATCTCTAATGCGCGACACGTGCGCGATATCGCGGTGATGGTCCAACCGATTCGGTAGGTATTTCGTTCGCACCGTAAAATCGAGTGTCTCGTCCTCGTGTGATTATTCGAGTGTTCCTTGATCGTAACGGTGTTTAACGTTCAGGGCAACCAATGCGGGAGGAAGAAAAATTCAGAAAACGACTAAGGCTTTAAAAGTGATCAACGGTTCAACGATGAATAATAATTAATAATCTCCAAGGATCGGACGCATAATTACGCATAATTATCTACAAGGTTTTAACATGATAATGCGTACGATCCTTTCTCCTAGATTCTTCCGAAACGGTTTCGGAAACGAGAAAAAGTAAGCCGAGCAATGGGATTCTCTGGAAAACACGTGCGTTAATTCTTAGATGCGGCCTCGCTGCGCGTTTACAGTGCGCGCGTACTCGGCCGAACGGAAAGATCATCGCCGCGTCAAGAGTTACGGCCGTCCGGCTTTGTGCGAGGAAATCGGCGTTTTGTTCGGTTGGTTTTGTTTTGTTTTTTTTTTTTTTTACACAACAACGTAATGTAATTCGCACCAAACGTGTGCACACGTCGAAACAACAGTGACCGTGTCACGTCCGTCGCGATGTGTTCGTTAATGCCGTACGACGGTCAGACGAGGTTGAACGGTGCTCGAAAACAACGGGGAACAAACAACCGTTTGGAGCCGACGATAGATCGCGGCTATGAAAACCAGCGCTCCGGTTCGTCTACCTTAAACACCGCCTTGAATACCGATCCAAATACCAGAGCGAGCCCTAGATACATCGGTTTCGGGTGACGAATGGTATCAAATCGAAAGTTGTCTAACATTTTTTGCGTGTCTTTAGGGTTTTTGATTTTACAACGCTATTCCCTCACCGTACAAAACACGTTTTATTTGTTCTGCGTTTTCGTAAACGTTGTAGTTAAAATTAAACTTGTCGAGAAATAAAGAAGAAAAAAATGTTTTCGCTGTAACGGGAAAAATGCTTATATTTATTTATGTAAAAAGCGTAGTGATTCTTAAACAATTATTTTTAAAAAAAATACATAGTATTAAATCGCTAAAAGAAGATAAAATACTAAAATGTTTTTTTTAGAATAAATTGGTTTTAGCAGATTTTCATATACTCAGGGAACATTGATCTTTTTGGTCACAGAATAGCACGTATTTATTTTATACATACATACATATTACAGGATGAGATTAAATTACAAAATGCAATGCAGTGTTAGAATTGTAGTACTTACGAATAAGTGGAGGAGAAAAAAACACAACACAACATATGAAAAAAAGGATAACCACGGAAAATATATATATATATATATATATAAAACGAGAAATCTTAAAAAAGAGGTTTAAAGGGGGGGGAGGGGTGAAATCGGTGTAAACGTAGTTGCCGTTGTGTGCGACGGATCGTCTTCAGCGGTCCGAGCGTTAAGTGAAAAACGCGCGATACTCGACGAACGAGAACCGATAATTGTAAACGTAATAGCGTTCCTTTGGAAGGATCGAGATCGATACGCAGTAATGGCGCACACCTCATGGGTCAAGGGCGTCGGTCGACCCTTCGAAAAAAATTGGGCGATTAAAAATATTTGCAATTTTCTAAACGTTGTTTCAATTCCGAACACGTGAAACTTGATTGGACCCAAGGGTCATGCCTTAAGTCCCACTACCTCAAGCTCCAAAATCACCTGTATTGGAGTTGCTTTGCTAATGTTTATGGGTGAATGGTGGGTATTAATATAATACGTTCGACCCGTGTCGGTAAGAATGAGTGTGCGCCAGTGTCGATACGAAAAAAGGCAACAAAAAAAAAACAACCAAACCAAAAACCGCCAACACGTCGCGATGACGAATTCCGGCGGTCGCGCACGCGCGCGTTCGCGTATTTTCTTGTGTTATTTATCTTTCCGTTCCGGTGACCTCTAAAACACGCGACGGGCAACCGGTTCTCCTCCACGAACGCGCGCCGGCGAACACGTTCGGACTCGTAACCGTCAGTCGTCTCGCCGGTTTCCGACCCTACGCGCGCGCTTTACGTCTGTACCGAATCGCCGTCCCGTCACGAACGCACGTGCTCCGCCAGACCGTTGACCATTCGCGCGGTCCAAACCGGGTGTACCACGGCGCGCACCGTTCACATCGAGACGCCGTCGTCGTGCCGTGTCTCGCAGGACGCGACCGCAGGACCGCAGCAGCCGCATGGAGGACGTTTCGCAGGACCGGCACCAGCGCGCCGGCGAGATGGCCGTCGTGATCAGGGACGCCGTCAAGATCTACGACGGCAGCAACGTGGTGCTCAGGCGTCTGAACATGTCCGTGCCGAAGGGTAAAATGTGAGTGACCAAAGCTCGGCGCGGCGCCCGACCGCTAGATGGTGCACGGGTTATCGCGTTCGGCTTTTGCGACCGATCGGTCGCAAAACTATTCCGCTATCGTTTTTTTTTCGTTTTCTCGACTGGTAGATTTTTTGTTCGTTTTCGATTTTACGAGATATTTTATTTTATTTTTAACCGGGAAAACATACTAGGTTAGGTTAGTTTAATAGTTTCGTTTGTCGAAGGGAACGCGAACGCGTTATAGAAGGTAACTTTTATCACAGAAACGATCGAGATCGATACGGACACGTTTCGAGATTAAATCATATTCTTTGCGAGTCTCCTTTTTTATCTTTTACTTTTGAAATCCAAACGATTGCTTCGGCTAATTTTAGTTTTTTTTTTTAGTTTTGGTGCCCCGGGACAAAATATGAATTTAGAAAATCTAAAGACTAGCATTACAAGCGTTACCTACTGCTAACCCATTATTTTAAACTAACGAACCTAATAATATTAAATTACACCCTAAGACAAAATGACCTAAATGCATTGATTAAGAAAAACTTCGAACACGTATTAAATTGAATAGCTTATGTGTTTCAAAAAAAAAGATATTGTAGATCGGTATTTGTTTATTGGATTCGGTTGACGAACCGAATAAAAGAAAAATAATTAATAATGGTCACGCGATGCAATTTTACATGCAATAACTCAATTAACATATTGAATTACATTAAAAATTCATTCGTATATTTTGAAAATTGCACGGGAAAGAATAAACAATGCTTGCTTACTGAGTCACGTGTGCGTCATCTCTGGTAGCGTATATTAGTTGATGTGGAAGCATCAAGCATTGTAGATGGCTGTAGATTAAAAGGATTAGTCATCAAAAGTTTTCGACACGAAATAAACTTGAATAATACCCGCGACGCATCTGATTGAATAGGAATTTACAAGTTGGGTTCCGAAGATCCTTGTTTAGACCAGTTAGGTCCCAATGTTTATCAGGTAGTTCACTAGTTGGGTCTATACAAAAAAAGGAAAAAAAAGTGTTGCTTCTCATTTTTACAGACTTAGGACTTCCAGTTACTTATAAATTAGAATACAGGTATGATTTTTTTTTTAAAAGTTTCAAATATATAATCTATAATTATTAGTTGAAGATTAAAATACTAGTATATGGTAAATAAATAAATTAAATGATTAAAAAAATTAAAAATCTACAAAATTGGTAAAAATTTAAATGATAGAGCTTTTACAAACTCAAATCTAATAATTTTTTTAATATTTTCAAGTATATCAATACTTGTAAGTCATGGGTTTTATTATCGTAGTGGTCGGACTGAACTAGTATGTTATGGTTTTTACGGTCGGACTGAACTCGATTGTTATTGTTTTTATAATCGGACCCAGTTAGTTGCTTATCTTTATCATAAATATTATCTGGGACCCCAACTCGGATACGTCCGTTTGAATGACTAATTTCGACTGGGATAACAATAGGTGTCGTATGATAGCATATTGTTCGTATTAATATGTATTTAATCTTTTGAAAAATTTCCACACGTTTTCGAGAATGCGTTTTTGCCAAAAAAGATTTTTTTGAAAAATACGAGTAAAAAAATCAAGTAAATAAAATAGAAATTGGGTATTATCGTTCAAAAATTTTTTTTTTTTTTTTTAATGTCGTCTTACTTGCACACAAGAGGGAAATGTGTTGGCAGCGGAATATTATCCGTTGTGTTTGCAGTGCACGCTTACGTTTAAAACGACGTGGAATAAGGAAGAATATTATGATAAATTAAAATTGTTTTCTTTACTCATTCTTTGTTTAAGATTATTAAAACGACCAAAACTACATTAATTTCTCATTCGTAAGCATAATGTTGTTAGTACTTATGGATCTTACTCGGTCTCGTTAGAAGTGCAAACAATAATGGCAACTAGTTGGACTGTTAATAATAGTGATACTTCGTTTTAATATAATTGCCGTGAAACATTGTTATTTCCACGGGTATTCCACTGTAGGCCGATCCTTATTTAGATTCATTTGCCTGGCCGTATTGTTACATCACGTTTTGGTCGTTCGGTAAAAAGTTGTTTCGACATAACAATCTTGATACGTACACGCGTTGCTAAATTCTATAGTATCTCCTCTCAACATGACGAAAGAATCAATCGTTCGAATTTTCCCGAATAGGATGGACAATCAGAAGAAACCAAAACCTGCCAGCAACAGTTTTCAATATGATTACGGCACAAATCTCACTGTTGAGTACACGAGTATTGTATTGCAATGCACGGTGATAGTTTTACAATAACAATCATCGCCAGCAGAAGGGCAGGGTAGAAGGGGCAACTGCCCAGGGCCCCGCGCCTTTCATGGAATTCAAAGATTCGTAAGCCTACCATATAATATTATTTTCGTAGTTGAACAACTATTTCCCCAGTCTTGGGAAAAATGTACCTGGTATTTTAATCTCAACTTCAAGATTATGTTTAGTTGGTACCTTTATTGTAGTATAAATAGTATAACAATAATATATTGTTGACGCTTCAATGATAATATATATTTTTACATAATTTATGTATAATAGAAAAATATGGTATACGAGTACTAGGGCGTCTAAGAAAAAAATATTTTAGTTTCACGAAAAAATATCTAGGGCTCGTGACAAAATCTACCCCAGGCCGTGCAAAACATCCCACCGGCGCTGACAGTAATAATGTAGTAAGACAAAACATAAAAAAAAAATTCGTAATTCGTCAACAAAACGCGCAACGTATAATGTGGGCAGCGGTGCATTAGTTAGACAGTGGCGTAATTTCGTTACGTGTTTTTATTAAATTGCCGACTCGGTGGCTCATTCTACCAAAGGGGGAGGAAGAAGACGTCAAATCGGTCGCAATATTTGATTTGTACATAAGTATTCGTACGGTCTCATTTTCTCTGATTTACAACATGCTAATGGTTTTACAAAAGACATATTTATATTTCGAAGATGCGCTGACTTCGGAATAGGTGAACTCTAGACTGCGGCATACGCATAAGTTCCCCTTCTCCCCCTAACCCAAATCAAGCCACTCAAGTCAGATCATAATAGCCACGATAAAAATATTGCGTGTAACGTTGATTGTTTATTTGTGCATTATGTCGAAACGCGAGTGGTTTGAATGTAGAAAAACGCGAATCCTACGACTGCACTGGTCATTCGGGCGTGATGTGCTCCGTCGGCAACACGTGTGGACGACGGTAAACATAACAAAGTACACCGTTTATCTCATAATTCGGTAATATGATTTTTGGCCGCTCCGCTTTTGTTACCGTGAACGGTTTATTTTTGTACGATTTTTTTTTTTTTTTTTTTTTTAATTAATACAGCGTTGCTGATTCGCACGTGTTGGACTCGTAATCTGTATTGGTAATCACACCATGCGATTGCTCAATAATACGGCTAATTGGGACTTGTTGAATATAAATATTGCACTACGAAATATCGAATCATCTTATGCATTAGGAAAACCGTGCTTCACTTCATTGACGATAATGGCTTACGTACATACGGATATCTGTTATTCGTAGGTTATTAATACATCACGGAGTTTTGCGATATCAATTTAAATCATTCACAGCTAAATAAACTTTAAACCATCATTATAATTAAGTACCGCAAGGACGTAGTTACTCGTGTAATAAGTAATTATCGACTTGTATCCGATTAAAGTAATTTCATATTATTACAGACTTGAAAATTAGATAATAGAGATTAACCGTGGGGGAAATGAATGAATTATTTATTTATTTATTTATTTATTTTTTTTTTTTGGTAGACTTTTTGAAAAAAATTTATTACATTCGTTGATCGAGTAATTTGTGATCTGAAAGCATTGTCTTGAAACTCGTAAACAATGATTCAGATGATACGCTTTTATTAAAATCACAGTACTTTAGACTCGAAATTCAGTGCAGGCTTTTTTCTCAATACACCAAAAAGGCTACGGTTCGAGCTTCTTACATTTTTACTTAATACTTAAAATAATAATTATTGAGAAAATCGAAACATGACCAATTAAATTTTTATCTCTGCCAGATCCCTTATCTAAAAATGTCTTAATTTAGTTTAAAATTGTACTGTTATTTTTATCCACGAGACTATAAGCTTTCAATAAAGATTCTATGTATTCGAAAAGTGCTTTAAGAAGAAAAACTGAGAAGTCACTGTAAGACTAAATCACTAATAATTTTATCGGTTCACTTTGAGAATCGAAAGAAATAATTTTAAGTATAAGTACATGTATTCAGTAAATCGATATCGTGAAAAAGCAAATATTTTATAACTTTTAGTAACTGTATGATAAATTTTAATACCCGTGTTCTATGTATAGTCTTATAATCAATAATGAATTATACTGTAATATAAGAACGTCGTCGTCAAGGGGATAGGAAATTATGGTAATATATTACCGTATTGCAAATTATTGCGATTCGAAGAAAAATGATGTTGGTATTGTAACTCCAAAAGCACTAAACTATACATGTAGAATGTGACTTTTCTGTCATTGCTCTTACAAAACGATTATGTTATCCGGCTAGTGTAGCCGCATTACCGAATTACCGTGGACAACATTATTTACGCGTTGCTCGGTAAGCAATCGCAACAGTTTTTTACCCGATTTATCCGGTCGATTTAATTCCGTTGGGAAACGTTACACATTTCCACGGTAGGTAACACGTGGAATCAAAATCGGACCGTACCGTGGAACGGGTGTGGGTGGACGACTCTATTGTTTTAATTCGATGATTGTGATACGTGTCGCCAACATGTTGTTATCGTTTCAAACACTGTTTCTCAAACACAAGTGCACGTAATCGACTCGTGTGCATCATTGCGAATCGAGAGAAGATCTGATAATTCAAGGGGTGGTACGGAGGAGTCAGGCATTATAAAGAACTCGAAATTAACTCCGAGGACACGACGGTCGCGAAAACGCACGTAGAACAACACGGTTTTCGTAAC